ATATTATGTAAATTAAACGGTGTGTTGAAAATAATATTTATTAATAATTTTGCAAGTAATAAACAATCACCCAAGGAAAGTCAAAGTAGGAAAAGAGCTCTCCATACAATCAAAACAATAATATATTGAATATGCATGTATATGTATGTATGTCTGTGGTACGTATTTTTCTGGCAATCAGTCAAATAATCGAGGATCACAATTGCAAGCGAAAGAAATGTGTTTAACTTTGAAAACGAAATTTAAGCACGTATATGATAAAAAAAAAAAAAAAAGGTAGCAACAAAATTAAGATGATCGAGCAGAAAATTGGTTGAACAGGTGCAAATGTTGAAGGTAAGTACTTTTATGTATACATACATATGTAAACAAACGCTTTTTGTTTTATTGAACAAATTAACACATTTTATGTAGGCAATTTTCATACAATTTTCATTCTAATTTGTTGAAATCTTTGTTGTTGCACGTTTGGCAATAATATTTTCGCAATAAGAGTAATGTAAACGGTGATAATGTTTGTAAAATCAAGATTAAACAGTTTTTAAATTAAATTATACTAATAATAAAACTTGCGATTATACATATAAACAGCGCTATTCTGTGCACTTGATACATTCAACAATTTGTTCATTTATCAAGATTTACAATTTATCAAGGTTTACAATTTATCAAGATTTACAGTTTATCAAGATTTACAATTTATCAAGATTTACAATTTATCAAGATTTATCTATTCTGTGTCAAACACACAAAGCTTTTTTTACTGTTTGTGCATACCTGTGAATAACAAATTGTTAGAGTGGAAGATACATATTTTATTTATATTGTTATTGTTGGGAGAAGAGAAAAATTGCGAAAATAGGGATCGCTCGAGACGTTAGGTTATCCATTATCGTTAAGTGATAAGATGTTTTCTCAACATTTTTGTTTGACTTGCAAAATTTGCCGTACTCTAATAGATGAACCGGTCCCACATGATATCCAAAAAAAAAAAAACCTGACTGTCTTCAACTATAAGAGTGGCTGTTGATGGCTTTACACCTCTTTGGGTATAGTGCATACCAAAAAATGTGTGGCAAGAACTTTAACTTGCTCATGAGTCAGTCAGTCGTCTTTTTCCAGAAGTTTGCTTATTGTATTGCAGAAATAAAATCCTCCAGTTTGGCAGTTGATTCTTCCTCTATTGTAAAAACAACCACTTGCGACCCACGGGTACATGTCATTCATCAGCACACTGATGTTGTACAACAGCGTAGGGAATCTTGCCTTATTGGCGATCACGGTTGTACTCTACAGCCGTGGTTTCTAACACCATCCCCTGATGAACCTGAATCCTCTAAAGAGCTAAAGTACAACTAACTAAATGGTTCTGCCCGAAATTGTATAGAAAGAGCTTTTGGTGTTTTAAAATCGCACTTTAGGTGTTTGCTGAAGCCTCGAGTTTTACTTATACACATGACAGTACATACGTGTAGGTGAAAGAACGACGTCTAGATATATTTCATTAATAAATAATGAAAATGTAAACATTTGAACATATGGCTTGCCAAATATATTACTTAGTTTTTCATTGTTCACCACACGGGTGGGGGAAAGCTCAAAAAACTGAAGCTTTATGTTTTATGAAAATTGACACAGAATAACAAATAAATTTTTGCTTGATAAAAATCTTGATAAATTATCAAGTTTGTTAATTTGTCAAGTGCTGAAAGTATTCAATCCATGAAATATTAAACAAAGTTAGTTTTATTTTTTTTTTCATACAAACAAGTGCGCAAAATGGAGAGATATGCAAACTTCCCTCGGCATATAAAAAAATTGGGTTCGTACTGGAAAAGGCGTAAATTAATAAAGTACGTTTCAGATTCAAAAGACAGCAATATTTTTACCAATCATTTTAACGGTAATGTGGAATAAAATAAACAAACTGCAATAAAGGCCTCAATGATTTATTATGATGTACAAAAATGGTGAACGAAAATGATATACCGGTTGTTTCAAAATGATAACACACTTTTCACTGTCGTTAAAATTACTAAGTAAACAGTTTATTTATAAGTGGTTGTTGTTGTTGTTTTTGTTGTAGCGGTTCACTAGCCCCGCTTAGGCACAGGTTTGGTCAGTCTAAGTCGCCGAGGTCATCTAGCGGTAGGCCCAGGAAACGAGCTGTTTCGACAGGGTTGGACCAAAGGGAGAGGGGGGTTAGATGAGTTGGTTTGAGAGCGCATGTGAAGAGGTGGTTAGTGTCGTGCGGAGACACTCCACACGCAGGGCATACGTTGGGCATGCTGGGGTCTAGTCTGGATAAGTAGGAGTTTAACCTGCTACAGTATCCAGACCTGAGTTGTGTTAGTTAGATTTATAAGTGGTGCTTTGTAACCGTTGAAGCGATTTTCCGCCGAACTCCTCCTCCAATTTGTGGTTTTGAGTCTTGATGTTTTTCCAACAAATGGAGGGTCCTACAGTTTATACTAAGCCGCCTCCGAACGGTTGATCGTTTTTTATGAGGAGCTTTATTTCATGTCAGAAATACACTCGGAGGGGCTGAAATCCCCTGCCGAGAGGTGACCACAGCTAGAAAATTTAGTTTAATTTTTTATTTAAATTAATTTTCTATAACATTTGGATGTTGGTCGCACCAGGATTTGAACCCGAACCTTCCGAATGGCAGTCCACAATGCTAACCATTCGGCTAACGCGGCCGCCTGGGGACTTTTCGCTATGTGTTATTACTCATTATTTACCAACTGGGTTTGGCAAAGGCCAACTAATATTTTTTTTTCACCGATTCACTCGATTTCTTCAAAAAGCTGGCATCTAGGATAGACATTTCCGTAATAATTGAATTGCATTGTGGAATTTCCCCATTATTAAAACATCCTCACTTATACATATATCCTACATACGAGTATGTATGTATATCAGAAATATTTGTAAGCGTAATATTGTATGGGTAAATATGTATGTAAAGTTTATACAAGGCAATATTTGTAATTTGTTTAAATATAAGCGATTGCTTATGAGTGTGGGTGTTATTGAAAAAAAATATTATAAAATAAACAATTCGCAGAAATATTTACTCTTACACACACATGTAGATTTATGTATATATGTATGCATATATGTAATTGTAGTAATTTGTAGATATAAACAGTATACATATGTACATACATATATGTGTATGTGTTTGAAGGTCGAATTGGAACAATCTGAATGAACAGATTTATCTGCAATTCCCCTTCGAATAGTCGAAAGAAATCCAAGTCGCTTCCGACACTTGTGAGATCGTCAAATCATCAAACAAGGTTGCCGTGACGAGCCAAGGTCTTGGACTGACTCGTAAAAACCACCAGCGCGGCAAACGTGAGTGCACGTTGCGACGCTAATGGATTTGCGAGTTTCTTTTTGTGTGTGTTTTGTGTGTGTTGTTTTGTATTTAATTTTTTATGTTTTTTTTTTTTTTGAATTTGTTTTATTTTTATTATTATTTTTTATTTTTATTTACAAATAAACAAATTACAATATTGCCTTGTATTTAAAAATACCTAAACTTAACCTAATCCATAATTGTGTCATATCGACATGTTAGTTTTTATACCTTCACTTGCTCTTTTGATATTTCCAAGCCACAATTGGAAACATTTAACAGGTAAAAAGCAAGAGATATATTCATATAAATAAATTATAGTTATAAATGTTTTTGAGGCATTGCGGCACAGCTGTAAACTATGCAAAAAAAAAATTACAAAAGTTCAGGGACAACATAAGGCCATGGAGCATGGACAGGGACACAATCACTCCGCCATTGGCGCAAGCACCGTTGGCTAAAGAGTTCATGCGCACGCTCTGCCACACCTTCTTAACAAAAAAAAGGGGGGTTTCAGTAACTCTTTTAAAACTTAGTGCAGCAGCTTTATAGTCGGTAACGCTTAATTCGTGGTGATGATGAGGAAGAATCAAACGAAATACGCATGTTTTCCAATGGATCATTTAACTGTAAACAACGAGGTTGTGCGGGTGTTTCTAAGATTGTGTTGGTATTTCGTAATTTAGATTGTATTCGTTTGCATGTGTATACGTGTTTGTTTGTTTGTGTTTGTGTATGTGTGTGTGTGTATGTATGTATGTTTATCCACAACATATTTAATTGCGTAAGTACCAGCAAAAATAGATACTTCTTCCCGTGTTTCTTCGAATGACCGAGCGCAACGCATGCTGTTTTGTTTTTTGTTCTTGCTAGTCTGGATAAGTAGGAGTTTAACCTGCTACAGTATCCAGACCTGAGTTGTGTTAGTTAGATTTATAAGTGGTGCTTTGTAACCGTTGAAGCGATTTNGTAATAATAAATCGAGTTCATATTTGGAATGTGATTCATATAAACAACATATTTAATTGCGTAAGTACCAGCAAAAATAGATACTTCTTCCCGTGTTTCTTCGAATGACCGAGCGCAACGCATGCTGTCTTGTTTTTTGTTCTTGTTTTTAATTTTTGCACCCGCCACGCACCGAATGTTATAAGTATTTATATATACATACACAAATACTTAGTAATCAATAGAATTTCGTTTAGCTTTATATGTAGCTGATTAAAGTTTGTTTTTGCAAAATAACTCAAAATTAATTGAAAGTAAAAAATAAACAAAAACCAACAGAAGACCGTTTTTTTTCTTGCAAATTTAGGTCAATTAATTTAACACAAAGTTATTCCGGTTTATTCCTCCTCATCAACGCCCACGCATGTTGGGCATACAGGTTTGCCTTCCATGGCGTAGAATGATTTCCCTCTCACCGCTTTCTTGCAATCCTGTAAAGGTGAAAATTACAAATAATTTGAGAAAAAGAAATCAATTTTTACAATGGCAATAATAATAAAATGCAGCAAAGTACAATTTGTAAGCAGCTATTCGTTTGTACCCCGAACAAAGGACACCTCCTCAAGTAAGCAGTAGAGCTGTGGCGCATATTTAACATGGCAAAAAATATATTTCAGTTACTTACCCGGCAGACAAAGCAATCAGGATGCCATTGTGAGTTCAACGCGGAGATATAGTTCTCCATAATGGCACGATTGCAGCCATTGCACTTGGGCGCAAACATTTCGAAGTAATCATTGCGGCAATAGGGTTTGCCATCGCGCTCATGGAAGCCATCTTCACCGAATTGCTGTCCACACTGTGCACAGAAGAAATGTTCCGTATGCCATGTCTTGTCCAAAGCTGTCACACATTTCTACAAAAGAAAGGATTATTCAAATATTCATGTACTACAAAAAATGTTGTTGAAAATATATTTAGCCACATTGCGTGCGTACATCTAAAATAGCTCCGTTGCAGTATGCACAGCGTGGGCTGAACAAATTGTGATAATCCGGTTCGCAGTAGGGGAAGCCGTCGCGTTCAAAGAAATTACGTGTGCCCAATTCCTGATTGCAGTGGTTGCATGTGAAATGCTCCGGATGCCAGGTCTTTCCCAATGCTGTGATCACTTGACCAACAATTGGCTTTTCGCAGGCATTGCAGCAGCCCTTTTGTACGGTATTAACTCCTTGACGACTCATATTGGCTTGTAAACTGCCAAGCATAGAATCCAACTGATCTGGTTCGTTATCTTCTACGACGGTAGAAGTAGTAGTTTCGGTGATGGTTTGTGTTAAATGTGATACACCCTTATTCGGCTTAGCGTAGTCGGTTACAGTCTGGTGATGATGGTTAGAGCCGTTGTTAACCTAAAAACGATACAAGAATAATTTATATCCTTTATGAATATTCCAAGCTCCAAGCAAGTGAATGATGGAAAATATATATATATATATATATATATATATCTAAGGATAAATTTAACAATAAATTGTCCGCGCGCTGCCTTACGTTCTCATGTACGACCTAAAGCGTCTGGTGAAAATTTTCAAACTGAAAATACTTTTATGCGCGCCGAACTCAAAAACTCAGCATTTGTCGGCCGCAGCTACAACAACAGTAACAGCAACAATAAAATAAATGAAAAATATAATAACAAGCAGCGCGTGAAAGAAAATTAAAGAGATGTTGACCGTGTTATAGGCTAACGAATGCGCCGACGCAAGCAGCGACAATGTCGAATGGGAAGGAAGCCTCTACGGCATTGCCAAAAAAATATTTATATGAAGTATGCCGGCCCAACGCCGAGCAGTGATTTTCATTTAGCTCTATATGCAGATGTAAGTATGTGTGTGTGTTCCCTCCTTTAATAGTAAAAGCGAAATTTTGGTTATTCCTCCGCCGCCTGCATACACCCAACACCCATTCTTAGTATTCAGTTAAATTACTTGCATATAAATGTTTGCATATGTAAATGCAGATACTAATTAAACGATCCTGATTTAACTAAGCAGAGCAATTTCCATTTTCACAGCAAATTTGATTTAATATTAATTCTGGTATTTCAATTTTCCCCAAACACACAAAACGTAAATATGTAATACATAAGGCAGCAAATCAATTATAAAAAAAATATTATTATTATTTTTTTTTTAATAATTAATTAATTTCTTGTGATGTTAAATATTTGGCCGATATAACAATTTTCCTATAAAAATTAATTTGATAAGGCGATTTTCAGGATATCTATTTTTTCTATCTTAATATTAATTGGTATTCAACAAATTCAATTAAATTGGGTGAAAATTTTAATTTCGGTTTTTTACACATTTACTTTTGTCCTGCCTGATCTTAAGAAAATCCATTGTACATTTTTTCTCTCAAAATCTAAGGCTATTAATTAGCTTGGTCATTCTAGTTCTAATACTGAAGAGCTAGAAATAATTATTTCGATTATTAGTGCTTTTCTGTTGTATAGAAATGATCGCGAGATATTCCCAATCATGGAAAAAACAGATAATTTTTTTTTTCATATTAATATATTCACCTGCGAAAGGGATAAATATTTCATATACTTCAATTAATTCATTTTCTTTGCCGCCTTGATCTTATCAACGGGTAATAATAAATCGAGTTCATATTTGGAATGTGATTCAAAATATCGAAGCACCTCGCGCTGATCATAGTCATGTAAAGATGATCGTGCAAGTTTTTAAAAATAGTTGTATTGATCCTCGATGCCTGATTGAAGATAGCGCAAAAACTAATTACTAATAACAATGAAATCTCGTATTTATACTAATTGTGAGGGACTGCACACATTACGATCTTAAGTAGCCATTCACTTCACGAAGATAAAAATGATCCCTCGTATATATTTATCTGAGCACTAATAACAATATCGTAAAACTTTGCTTCCGCCATTTTTTTCCAAAATTAAAAGCTTTATTGCGAAAATAAAGCTTACAGATATATTATTCAAAGTATTGTCCCTCGCTAGCGACAACTTTCTCCCATCTTTCCGGCAATTTTCGGATCGCGGCTCGAAAATAGGAGTCCTCTTTTGACGCTATCCATGAAGCAATCCATTTTTCCAATTCTTCGAAGGATTGAAAGTGTTGATCTGCCAGGTCGTGTGCCATCGAACGGAATAGATGGAAATCAGAAGGGGCGACATCTGGGGAATATGGCGGGTGGTGCAAGACTTCCCATTTCAGCGTTTCCAGGTACTTTTTGACCACTTTTGCGACGTGAGGCCGAGCATTGTCGTGTTGGAGGATGACTTTGTCTTGTCGCTCTTGATATTGTGGCCGATTTTCTTTTAGCGCGCGACTAAGGCGCATCAGTTGCGTTTGGTAGCGATTTCCTGTGATGGTTTCACCCGGTTTTAAGAGCTCGTAGTAAATCACACCGAGCTGATCCTACCAAATACAAATTATAACCTTAGCGCCGTGAATATTCGTGGAAAACACTCCCGGCAAGTTTCTTCACTCAGAGCAGCATCACATAAGTTTCTGAGAGCATTCGATGCGCTTCAGCTGCATTTTTTTTTCGAATTGTAACTGAAAAGTAAAAATTTCCGCAAATGGCGAGAATTAGGCACACAAACGAACATTTTCGAGCGTGAATAATACGAAAACAAGAACAACTGTCACTGAAACGGCGATGACAATTCGTTAGGCACTGTCCACACTCACTTTAAAGGCATTATCAGCTATGTATTTCAACCAGCCTCAGCCGGTACAGCTACCTATCGGAAAACGGCGGAAGCAAAGTTGTACACCTGATAAAATTAAAATCCCTCTCTTCCAATTTTTAGTATGCGTCTTGATGTTTTTCCAATAAATGGCTGATGGTTTTTTATGAGGAGATTTTTGTTTTATGCCATAAATACACTCGGAGGGGTTGACAGTCCTTGCCGAGGGGCGGCGGCAATTAGAAAGAGTTAGTTAATATTGTATTTCAATTATTTTTTCTATAAAATTTGGATGCTGGTTGGACTAGGACCTGGCCAAACGGATGGCAGTACATTAATAAAAAAAATTGTATGTTATAGTTACCGCAGGCGTTTTAACTGCAAAATATATCCGGCTTCATTGACATAACTCATCGAATAAAAACGGTACAGATAAAGTTTCCACTGGAAAAACCAGAGGTAGAAGAAGATCACAACTCTGCGGTGGAGACATAAAGTGTAGGTACTTGCCTTCAACTTGCACCACCAACAGACAACGAAAATAAGTTCAAATTAGATGAAATTCCTCGTTCAGAATTGAGGAAAAGTTTGACAAAATTAACCGCGAATAGAGCTGGATGCGGATCAGAGTTGGATGGAACGCATTAGAGATACGCAAACACAACAGCAACCTCTTAGGAGCAGTATAATGAAACCCCTGCGGGTTAGGGATTCAAGAATTTACCCGCGGTAAGGCATGCCTGTCGTAAGAGGCGACTAAAATCCAATACTTCCCGCGACAGTCGGGTCTTTATACCGGAACGACCCGGATTTTTATCCGGCCAAGGACTGTCTGTCACTCCCGCAACATTCCCCAAAAAGTACTTTGGAGAATATTTTTGCGGTTACAACAACAACAACAACAGCAGCAGTGTAATGAGATGAGCTTTTAAAGAAGTGCACTTCTCTCACTACTTAGAGAGTTTGTCATCCAATTTTGTAACCCCTATGAAGTGACGCTCGGCAACTACTTCTGCTTTACCTAATCTACATTCATTTCTATTATTGTTCCTTAATACACCATTGCAGCATTGAGCAAACGAATTCAGTACATACATACGTGTATACCCACTCATTAGAACGCAAAAGGGAATAAAGGCTGACAACTTCAACAGCAAAACTTCAAGTTCTAAATTCCAATGATTAAACATTTTTATTGTCATTTATCTAAGAACAAATATGTGTTTAGATATGTACAAATGATTTTGAAGAAGTAATCAGGTGCTGACAGATGTTTTCAATAAATCAGGCATTGTCATCAGAGCCATTAGCAAAATATGTCAAATGTCCAGTGACAAAGTAAAAAAGAAAACTATTAATTATATTTAGTGTTGGAAAAACTTCATAACGCTAAGAAAATAAAGCAGCAGAAGAAGAAGAAGCATCTCAGAGTATGGCGAGAATGAATATGTTCTACTGTAGAATGCGTATTTGTAGATTTTTTTTAGATTTTTTAGACTTTTCCTGTCGCAACGAAAATTTAAATCTTTTCAATTTCCAGGCGTCCAAAGTAGCGGGGTAAGTAACCGTGCGTGTTACTTCGGGAATGTTCCAAGTTCGAGCGCTAGCCAGATTCACATCTATAAAATTTGTTATTTAAATACGATTGTCCCTGCTCAGAGAACGTCAATGCCTATCAGTCTCATTCTGATTCGAAATAAAAAGCTGCTTTTAAAAGCCGAACAGAGGCAGTTTCATTAACTGCAGACTCACACCACAATCGAAAGAGAAACACTTTAACAGCAGCTTCTTATTTTTTCTTTTTTTTTTATTCATTCAAGGTATCCACTAGGGACTTACTATTTGGTCTTCCAAAAGAATAATTTTTTCCAAATTTTTTTTTTATTTTAGTGTCCTGTTTTTCTATTTTACTGTCTAATGAAGGATCTGAAATACTTATAAATACATTCACAGTAGACATACATAGATACATATATTTCTTTTATTTACACAAGCGAATCATGAAATTATCTCAGCAACAGAAATACACACAAATATTATTTATTTTGCGTTTTGTTGTTTTCCTTCAATTAAACAAAAAAAA